TGTTTACTACTTTTAGACTTTTCATTTGGCGACGAAAATTTAGCGTAGCGATTGCTGGAATTCAACTGCTGCAGCCGGATTCCAGCATTCGCTATCACTAAATTTGATCGCTAAAAATCTCCAAAAGAATAGCAGGCGCGTCTAACAACACGCCCCTCATACTGCCAGATTTGGCTGATTAAACTTTGCTTCTGTTACTTTCAATGTTGCGTACTTTTAGGCCCCACGGCTTTAAATTTAGCGAATTTTCTTTTCTTTTCATATTTGGTCACAGAATGGTTAACATTTTGGATGAATTTTACTTGCTTTGCATTCGATTACTCCCAATTAATTTCGCAAACAAATTAGGATCGATTCAGATATGTTGGAATTTGATGATGCTGTTTATTATTAAACAAGGCTCACAACTTGTGCTATATGTCGTGCAAATTACATGACTTTTGTATTATGTTACGCATTGTTATTTAGGTAGACATTTTGATGTCAGCATTTTCTTCTTAACTACAAACACACCCCATGTTCAGAAATGCATCACACCAAACCATCACTCTCTTTTATTTCTAAACTACAACTGATGGAAACATCCAATACGCACAACCCCGGTTAATGCGTAGATGAGGTATTTTCATAAATTATAGTTTAGCAACCTTTTTACGGCATAAAGTATCTGTTAGACGTGGCAAGTGCAAATAGTTTTGAAAAGTCCATCAAATTCAAGAATTCCAAAAAGTGCAGGGAAGTTACAATCTGCATGTAAAGTGAGCTTCAAAAGCACTTTTTATTTCCGAAAACCGAACTCTATGATGCTACTTTTTTCTGCTTATACAGTGTAAGCTAAAAGTTCCACTTTAACAGTGTTAGCACATAATTTTATACGCTGAAAATAATGAATATGTTAAAAATATTACTAAAAATTAAAGAAAATTTCATAGAGATGGTTACAGATGCCATGTTAAAATTTGAATAATTAACTGAGCTTAATACAGGCTATGTAATATAAAGAAATTTTATAATTGTCGTTCAGAAATCAGGTATCAGGTGCAGCTGATACGCTTCTGACTTTGAACATCGATTACGCAGGTTCGATCCCTGCTGAAGTCTAGAAAAAAGAAGTCTGATGAGGAGATGTGCTGATCTCCGAAATAGCTGCTATAACTTCTACCGCTTAGACTTGGTTGCTTTTTCAATTTTTCCTACTAAACAATCGTGGTACAAAGCTCAATAAAAATATTAAAAATACAATATAACTTTAATACAATTTTAATAAACTTTAAATTTCTTGCAACGTTGAGTCTTCGTATTTTATATATTTCTAGCATTGCATGTAAATGTACAGAATTGTTGTGAGTTGAGTGTTTCTCTGCAGTTCAGAAATGCATTCTTTGTTCTACGCTCCGCTAATTTAGTATTCAATTTCGAAAAAATAATGGAATGAAAAGGTGAAGCTGGGTGTTTTTACAGCAATCCCTTAGAAATGCTCTCAGAGGGCCAAGAGACTTATTCCATGGCTCAAATTAAGTACTTTGTGTTCGCGTGATAAAAAATTGTGACAAGTATGCACAGCTGCAAACAAATCATAAAAATTTTATAAATAATGTATTTTTTAAATAGGGGGGTTCACATTTTTTTTCGTCTCAATATCCATAAGATTTGTGTAAAAAAAAATATACAAAAAAAAATTGTTTGTAGGAAATACGGGGTTTTTCGTAGGTTTTTTTTTTCTTAAAAAATACTTTTTTTGACCAATTTTTTTTTAAGGTTAAGTAGTATTTATAGCTCAATGGCAATAGTTTTCAAAACCATTTTGTATCATATCAGTATATTCTTCCATCAAGAGAGCTACGAGTAATGGCCATAGAGTGTTCAAAAAGCACATTGTGCGCCAACCACAGTATTTTTCTTCGTCGGTTTTCGCCGGTGCTTTAAAAAAATAACCCCTACCAGTCCAACTCAGGCTACGCTGAGCACAGAATTTTTGCGCAGAACTCACCTCGAAATTTACAAATATTTACATTTATTCCTTTGACTACACATGTATATTAAATTTTTTTAATCGGGTCTGGAGTCTAGACACAATAACGCAAAATCATTTTACGTATAACCGAACCGTACCATTTTCTGTTCTATTTTTATGTTTTTCCTTTCAAATCGACTATTTGAATGCTCAACATGATTAAATTTCCTAAATATTGGCTTACATTAAAATCTTACATTCAAATAAACAACAGAAATCAGCAAAAATGTTAGCATTTACAGTATCGGTCATATCTATAGGACGCCATTTCAAAGTGATATTGTGTGCCACTTATGTTTATATAATGAATAAACTCAATTTATTTGTATATGGAAGAAATCCGCAACACCTTTGGCGAAAAAAATTCTAAAAAAATCAACGGTCACCTTTATCCACTTGAAACTTGCACATTATTAGACTAAAATTGATTGGGCTATAAAACTGTGTATTCAGAAAAATTCTAACACTTCCGAGAAAAAAGTTTGAAATTTATATGAAACTTTGTTGCACTTTTTTGTAGTATTATACAAATTGTTAAACTTGGGTTTATATTGGTTTTGTTAAAGAAAGAACTATATTTTAATTGAAAATTCTTAAAAATAAATAAACAAGTAATTTTTAGCAAAAAAAAACCGACTTCAACTCCCATATAAAAAAAAAATATATATATATATATATCTCATGATCCACTGAACGGATCTCAACCAGATTAGTATGGGACCACCTCTGAGACACTACCTTTCCGACGCAAAAAGAATTATCGAAATCGGTTGACGTGGTCCAAAGTTATGCGGTAACATACATAAAACACAAAAAAAAAAAAAAAAGATTCCGACGAACTGATAACCTCCTCCTTTTTTGGAAGTCGGTTAATAAACTAATAAACATAAGTGGCACACAATATCACTTTGAAATGGCGTGCTATAGATATGACCGATACTGTATGTACCTGACCATTTCTATTCCGATAACAAAACCGACAAACTCGGATTCTGCGACACTTGAAATGGGCAAAATTTAGTTTCGAACATAAAAATCAATAATATCGGACTGCGCGACACATAGCGAAAAAAGTTGTCGGAGAATATCGCATTCCTCGACATACATATCGTCGTTTAAAGTGCAAAACCGCGTATCAACAAAATGCAAAACAGACCTCTCTGAAGTTGGCAGGACAACGTTTTCTCAAAGCAAAAATTCCTATCGGATAATTTGCCGTTAATTATCCGTACATTATCCGTGAAAATAATAATTTTTCCGCGGACATATTTTAAAAAATATCGAGTGTCCTGCACCTTCTGAAAACCAATTAAGGAAACCAGCTAAACCTAAACTACCTAACTAATAACTTGCCGTAAATTATCCGTTGTTTATCCGTGAAAGGAATTATCCAGCCGAATTAAGGAAATCAGCTAAACCCAAACAAACTATTTGATAATATATTATTGAATATATATATATTTTTTTTTAACTAAATTAAATAGTAATTTTTTTAAACCTGTATGGATCAAAGTTTCCAACTTGTTCAATACAAAACGTACATCGAATTACATGAAAATCTCAAGCATTTTATTTAGTTTTGTTTTTAGCTCCTTAGCATAGCATTGTTGGCAGCCCTTTTGATGTCAAACAAGCTTGAGCAGAGAGTAGGCAGGTGGCCTAAGCGGCGACATAACGGTTCCCATTGCGACTGCGCTAAACGTTTACATGCATATATAAGCGCTTGGAGAAGAGACTGCGTTTAGTTCTACGCCATGTAACGCCATGCACGAGAGAGAGAGGAAATGGTTGCGTCTCTCATAGACAAGCCTGAGCAGGATGGAGTTAGCAAGTGCTTAATGTGCGCAAACATTAGCTGTCGGAGGCGACGACATAACTTGGAGAAGAGACAACGTTAATTCTTTGCAATGGACGCCATGCGAGAGAGAGAGATAATTTTTGCGTCGCTGATCAGGACTGCCAATTCGGATAAAAGCGTGCCATTGTTGTGTTCGACCGAATGTTCGATTTCGGTTTCGCTTTGACGGTTAATCGACCATATTTTCATGTTCGTGTAAATGTTGGGCTTCCGCGAAAAAATAGACCGTAGGTTTTGACATCCAAGGCAAGATTATTCTTTTCACGGATAAACAACGGATAATTTAAGGCAAATTATCAAATAGTTAGTTTGGGTTTAGTTCGTTTCCTTAATTGGTTTTCAGAAGGTGCCCTGCGCGATATTTTTATAAAATGTGTCCGTGGCAAGATAATTCTTTTCACGGATAAACAACGGATAATTTACGGCAAATCATCAGATAGTTAGTTTGGGTTTAGCTGGTTTCCTTAATTGGTTGTCAGATATTTTTTAAAATACGTCCGCGGCAAAATTATTCTTTTCACGGATAATTTACGGCAAATTATCCGATAGAAATTTCTGCTTTGAGAAAAAGTTTTCGTGCCAACTTCAGAGAGGTCAAAACTGCGTATCAGCAAAATGCAAAACCTCGTATGTGAAGTTGCAGAAATTATTTTCTAGAGCGTAAAAACACTGATATTTCAAAATGGTTCTCTTTTTTATAAAGCAATCGCATTTCTGGCTAGTATATTTCAGGACGAATGGATAAGGATTGAAGCAAGAGCTTGTGTGAGCAAATCCAATTTTTGGCAGCCAATGTCAGTTACGCGGTTTTGCAGAATGACGATACGCGGTTTGTACTTTAAACGACGATATGAAGCTGTAAGGTTCTCGTTACAGTTCATATTATTATTAGTTATAAGACCATATTTTGCGAAAACATACTGTATGTAAAATGCGCATAAATCACCCACAAAATGTATGTATAATATATTAATAATTAATTACTCCATGCCAAATTTGCAAAAAGTGCTTTTACACGGAAAGGTTGATTTTCGCATTTTGCGCTTGCATTGCCACGTTTAACCGCACAATAAATATGTATGTAAATATACTTATGTGAAAATATCCATGTTTATTATCAACACTTACACGCTTGTACATATTCGAACAATCTTACCTAAAAATAGAAATTAAAAATAAAATGGAATCAATTAAGACAATTTCTGTTAGCGATAAAAATTATATTTAATAGCGAGCTGAAGGAATACGTACAGAAGCAACTGAAGAAAGATAGTAATTAGACAGATAAGTTTCTTAGAATTATTTTAGTTGCTAAAAGAAGACACAGAAGTTTTTATTATTTTGCAAATATACAGAGTCAGCATTAAAAATTTAAGAAAAACAAACAGAACGGTGCAATTCAATAGGAATTTCATTTTGTTTTGCTAAATTATTTTATCAACATCCGTTAGTTGTTTGGAAAATATTCAGTTGTTTACACTGAACACAAAATGAATGCAATTCTAAATAAACAAGATGAAAAAATATGTAATATGTATAGTGAAACGCATTGAAAACTCACACTGGAAGGAAAAAAACGTATCTGATAAAAAACATATATACAGTGATCAAAATAATTATAGCCGCACCCCATTTTGACAAGTTTTAACATATTATTTTTGTGGTTATTTAATTTTGGGTATTTTTTATACAAATGTAGTTCATTCTTTAACAAAATTAGTATCCAAGCTTACAATTGTGTGCAATATTTAAAAAAAAAATCAACAAACTTTCGTAAAAATTTTTTTTATTAGATTTCCTTAAAAGATTCCGATTTTGTCCCATTTGCTTCCATATAACGAATACACACAGTTTATTTTATATGGAAGAAAACCGAAACATAATGGACAAAAAAATTCTAAAAAATCAACCGTAGTTTTTAGCACTTTGAAACTTGTACTTTGTTCTACTAGAATTCAATGGGCTACAAAACTGCATACTCAGAATCTTTCTAGGAAATCTAGTTAAAAAAGTTAGAAATTTTTACGAAAGTTTGTTGATTTTTTTTAAATATTGCACAAAGTTGTAAACTTCGATTTACACGGGTTTTGTTAAAGTTTGGACTATAAATAACCAAAATTAAATAACAACAAAAATAATGTGTTAAAACTTGTCAAAGTGTGGTGCGGCTATAATTATTTCGACCATTGTATGTATGTGCATATGTATGATTGCGAATTCAGTAAGCACAGAATAAATGGAACACATTAGTTATTGCTAACTGCAAGGCTTATTCACAAATTGTATACTAGTCATAAGAAGTAACCCTACCGAGACAACAAAGAAGGAGATAGTTTTTAGAGGGTATGTGGCGTATGTACATAGTAATGTAAATATGTATGTACGAGGGGGATTAAATAAGCCTCTAGCTCTGGATACAGTAAAGTCATTTGAGTCGACCTGACGTTTGGATCGTAAATAGTACAAAACATGAATATTTAGACTTGTTTCAACTTTAGATGATGAAGTGTTTATAATGGGTATAATATTTACATTAAAGCCTAGTTGCACTTCCTTCGCCGATGACTATCCAAAAGGTTGTCCAATAACATTTAGTGCTCGTTGGATTTCATATAGTTTGAAAATAGCCTCCAAAAAAGGCCCGCGTCGATTGGTAAAGATAGATGTACACCTGTCTGCAGACAGTTGAATCACATCGCAACAAGCTGAGTATGCAATTTTTTAGAACATTTAATTTTAGTATAACAAACTGCAAGTATGAGGAAGCTAGGACTTACCATTGATTTTAGGGAATTTATTTTTTTTGTTGAAGATGTCGTACATTTTTTCTATATAAAAAAAATTATCAAACGTTATTTTATATGGAGAAAATGAGCGACACCTTACGCTCTGGAGAGTGTTATTAAAAGGTGCAAAACTTGATTGAAATTTTGCAGAATTTTCTGTACTTTTGCACAAGGTTTGGATCTCTGATTTTTGGGTTTTTTATTGTAGATTTAACCATGCTTCTATAAAAAATTATAGAAAAATAAAATAGTTAAAAAATAGTTGCCCGTATTGTAAAAAGTTCGCTGTTCCTAAACTTTATTGACTGACTGTACATAGCTATAGTGTGGCTACAATTTATTGTTCTGGGGAATATTTTAATAAACAATAAGGCCATTTATACTAAATACTTATTGAGGGCCCCTCGTACGCATGTATGGTTGTATGTAGATAAGACTTGTTTGCATTCAGCGCGAAAGTGGCGGCAAAGCTACACTGAGTGCTAATGGTTTATTGCTAACTGATTTTATCGCTCGTCACCTCGAATCACAACGCAACCGAATTGATAAGGTCAATAGATATCTTATGGCTGAGTGTAAAATTACGTTCATAAGTACTTATAATTTAACAGGTAGTTGGAAAGTAGCTCATTATAACAAGTAGTGATTACTTGAGTTCTCTGAGTACGCTTTCGATAATAAAGAGATAATGTAGAGAGTTACTGATATAAAGGATTTGCCGTCTGTTACATTTCCAAGAAGTCCTGTTATATAGTTACAAAATAACAATAAAAAAATGATTTTACTGAATTGTTTTCAAACATACATACATACATTCTATATATGAGTGTAAATAAAAAACATATGTGTGTAGATATACGCGGCACTTTGTGATTGATCAGCCACCTACCAACGAGATGTGCATACATACTACATAAGTACTTACTATACTGGCATATAAATGTATAGTATAAATGCACAAGCATTTTTCCGGTTTTTGCACACATTAAACAATGAAAATAGGAGCAAGTTTGGTGTGTCTCTCCGTTTCGCTGCTTTGTTACTAAATTTTTGTAATCATGCATGATTTACCGCTCAAATGCACCACCGAAGCGTTGACATTATTCTGACAGCTCCCGGCGATAGCGATAGCAACATCGTCACCAACACCGTTAGCGCACCGACAACAACGCAACAATAATCGAGCTTTCCAATTTCTGGCAGCTTGTGAGGCAAGCTGACAGATAGGCATGCAGACATGCTGAGGTAGTTCATGGTACGAATTCTATACTTGCAGCTAGGAACAGCAAAAATAGTTGCTAGGTAGGTAGATATGTATGCACATTAGGGTGGTCCAAAAATGTACATATGTGGGGGGGGAAGCAAAATCGCAATTTTTATGCTCTCACCCGGATTATTCTACTCCGATAAATATACCCCTATTTGTATACCTTTCATGAGCATGAAATGGTATTATATCTTTGGTCCGATGTTTGTAAGTACCAGAATAAGAAGAGATAGACCCATTAAAATGTATACTTAAATGATCAGAATGGCGAACTGAGTCGATTTAGCCATGTCTGTCTGTCCGTCTGTTTGTATGCAATCTAGTCTCTCAGTTTTCGAGATATCCGGATCAAATTTGGTAGGTGGGTGTATTTTTATAATGTATTAATAATTTGTCGGAACCGGAAGAATCGGACCACTATACGATATAGCTCCCATAAAACTGATTGTTCAGATATGAGATTTTTCGTTATAACTTCTCCATTTATACAGCTAGGAACATGAAATTTTGCAATACTTCCACCCATTATCAACGGAAAACTTAGAGTTAAAATTACAAAGATCGGGTCACTATAACTTATAGCTCTCATACAACTGATTGTTCAGATATATGATTTTTCGTTATAACTCCTCCATTTAAGTAGCTAGACACATGAGATTTTGCACTGTTGTCACTTACCACCAAAAGAATACTTTCAGTGAAAATGGCGTAGATCGGGTAGCTACAACCTATATCCACCATACAACTGATTATTCAGATATGAGATTTTTTGCCATAACTTCTTCATTTATGTAGCTAGGTACATCAAAATTCGCACCGTTTTCAATAATTATTAACAGAATGCTTACAGTGAAAATAACAAAGATTGGATCACTTTTACATATAGCTCCCATACAACT